GGGGCGTGCCAGACCGTACCTACACTGGTCGAGAGGCCACGGCTAGCCGCCGCCAACAGCCTCCATTGGCTTGTTCCGCCCTAGGGAGGGACCAGGGTGGGAATCTGGCTGTGTCTGCGGTGGGCGGCCGGTGGCGCTAGACTGCGAAGGTCCGGTCTGTTTACGAGGCCAGCCTGCCAGGTTTTCGAGGGCTGCCGCTTTGAACCCGCAACACCTCCCTAAGAATGGACCTGCAAACAGTCTTCCAGGAGCTTGGTACCGACCCCGGGTCAGGAGGCGGGGCACAACTCGCACAGGCAAAGTCGACGCCCGGCGCGCCTCCAGCGGACCTCCCTGAACACGCCCCGCCCCCGCCCCCGGCCCCGCCCCCGCCCCCGCTCTCAGGAGGAGGAAGCGGGTGACGTCATCGTCCAGGACCACAGGTGTTTGGCGCCATTTTGAAAAAGAAAAAAAAAATTCCGGCGGCGGCGGCGGCGGCTGAGGCTGGCTTGAGCTGTCTGGCGGCGGCCGCTCGTTCGTGCGCGCACCCGTGCCGCTGCGTCCGCCCGCCCGCCGCCGCCTCGCGATGGCAGGTGAGGACCGCGAAGTGGGGCGGGCGGGCGCCAGCCTTCCGCCCGTCGTGTGTCAGCAGGAGCCGGGAGCGGAGGCTGTCCGGCGGGCGGCGGCGACTTCCAGTGGTACTTCTCGCAGGTCAAGGGCGCTGTGGACGAGGACGTGGCTGAAGGTAGGACCCCCCGGGCGGGCGGGGCGCGGCGGGGTCCCGAGGTGCAGAGCCGCCTCTCGGCTCCCGGAGCCTCCCGCTCCGAAGCTCGCGGGGCCGGCGTGCGGGCCGGGTACGGCTGGAGGGGGTCCTGGTGGAGCCGCGTGACGGGCCCGGGGACTGTTCTCGGGTGGGAGCGTCCCTGCCGCGGCGTCTCTTCCTCCGGCTCGGGCTCGGGGGCGGCGGGCCGGACTTGGCCCTTCTCCTGCAGAGCCGACACCTGTGTGGCTGGGTTTAGCCGCCGCGGTGCGCCATCCCTCGGGGAAGGGCAGCCTTTTGGACGCTGCTGGCTTGCGCGGCGATGCGTTTCCAACCCCGCTTGGGCCTTGCTGGCGAGGGCTGGGGAGAATGGAGCGAAACCGGGGCGTAGCAGCTTCCACCCCTGCCCAGCTCCCCCGGCACTGACATGACAGGTGTGGCTCTGAGGGGTCTTGGGGACGGCGCCTTTGTCCCCCGTTGCCCTTGGAGCTCCATCAGGATAGGACCGGCTTAGTGGGGACCTGGAGGGCTGGGCAATGGAAGAGGCGCTTGGGGAGTCAGCCATGGCGGCTTCGCTGTCTGCTCGTCCTGCTGGGGACCACATCAGCAGTGCCTCGCCCCTCTGCCTCTTTGGAAGATGTTTGTGGCTGGTCCCTGGAAGGTGGACGAGCCAGCTGCTACGGCTGGAGGAGCGCGGGTCAACGGAGGGCGGCTGCGGGACGGAGCGAGGGGACAAGCGGGGTGTTGGCAGGTGCTCTCAGCGGTGACTACACACCTGGGCGCGCTATTTGGTCCCCTTCTCCCAGCCCGGCTCCCCCCGCCTAAGCCTGCAGGCCACTCACCTGTGTTAGGTCCTGGGCTCTGGGCTCCACTGGACTCCACCTGCTTAAGCACCTATAGGAGACCCAGCATGGAAGTGACACCAGTCTCACTATGTCCCAGAACCTGCTCCGAGGACTTTACATGTGTCTGTTAGTCACAAAGGAGGGGCTACTGCTTCCCCAGATTTTAGGGGCAGAAACCAAGGCACAAAGGATCACCAACTTGTCAGTCACTGCCCAGCAGGGCCAGGGCTTCAGGAAGGGTCCACAGCCAAGGCAGCAGGGCCAGCGGCTTGGTCCTGTGGGCGCTCGGTGGCTCGTACCCGCAGTCCAGCAGCTTGGCCGTGTGGGCGCTCGGTGGCTCGTACCCGCAGTCCAGCGGCTTGGTCCTGTGGG